CAGCCTAATATATAAGGCACCTGAAACATCTGCAGGACGAATGTTACTGTTTCAGGTATCCACTCCTCTTTATTTGTCCTGTTTATTAGCTCTCGGCATCATTAAAAGAAAAACAAATAAAATGAAGTAACACTTTAAAGGCTTTTAAAATTAAAACCAGCAAGACATACTGGAAATCATTTTTTAAGTTAAATACAGTGCTAGGTCACTCATACTCAGAGTGACCAAAATAACGGACACTCCCCAAACCTGTGGACTTAAAAATCCTATCAGAATGGCATTTCCTGTATTTGAAGAAGATAAAAACAAAACAAGCATTTAAAGCAGTCACCTGGATTTCTTACCATTTGTGTGAAGCATTTTCACTTTCACTGCAACAAATTACCGCCCTAGTTTCTTGGAAACTTGGACCATATGCCAAGGACTGCTGAGGGAACTTGTAATAAAAGGAGGACCTGTTCCAGAAAGTTATTAGATGTCCTGGGGTGTGCCACTTGGCCTGTTGTTTAGAGAGCATCAGATCCTTAAAGAGCGGAAATTTGGATCATGATCCTGTAACTGAATACAATGTCCTTCCACTGCAGGGTAGAAAGCAGCCTGGAGTTGGGAAGAAACTTGCTTTGAAACATCGGATCCCAACCACTGACAAGATGCCAGGCTAGAAGAATTACTAGTCTGATAACACAGTAGGACAATGTTCTATGTTCTGCACCCAGAAGTTGGTTTCTTTTTAAAATCTATTAGCAGCAGATTCCCATACAGCTTGGCCAGAACAGTCTGGTCTTAAGTACTGTTTTGTTTGCCTTGAAACATCTTGCTGTTTCTCATCCATCAATAAATTCTCAAGACTCCCACTCCTTTTACAATTTATATGAATAGCAGAGGTTAGGAAAGTGCAGCATGGCCTGGAGAAGCCCACATGGCTTAGTCACAGAGCTATTTTGGTACTTAGTTCCCACTGGGGTCAGTGGAGGTTTGCAAGGCTACATCTATATCCCCTTTGCTAGCCATGCCCACACACCTCCTTGAGCTCAGCGTGCCACACGGCACAGCCAGGTGTGTCCAAGGCGGCCTGCAGAGCTCACGCTCCTCGGTTAGATTAAGCTCACTGAGCAAGGTGTAATTCCCAGCTCTCCAACATTTCCTCTCCTGGGAAAGGGCTTGTTCCAATATTGAGCCAGACTGCAAGGAAGTGTGAGGATGGTCCAAACTGCCAGGAAGTTCTGGCTCAAAGATGAATTCAAGCCGCAAGCTAAAAGGTAAGTCTGGATGTACTTAAATACCTGGGAGGAAGGTAGCCTGTTTGCTCTTCTGCTACCACTACTCAAAGATGTGCATGAATGCAACACAGCACTTTTTATCTCTACACTATAACCTCCACCATGATTTATAAAGACTAGTGGAACTTATTTTGAAGAAAACAACTCAAAGCCAAACCAAGCAACCACTGTCCCTCCCCATCACAGCAATGTTTCCTCCTGAGAACTTCCTTGCTTGTCTTCCCCTACACACCTAAATCCTCCAACAAGTAATACTTCTGACACCAAACCAATGTCACTGGTGGCATCCCACATGCCTGGGCTCTCCTCATGAGAGACCACGAACAATGAGTGGTTCATGCCTGCTTTGCAACACTTCTGAGTAAACAATGCTACCTCTGCAGAGGCAGGCCAGGCTGAACAGAAGAGAGCTGTGGTTTCAACTCAGGTGGAGACAAAACTGTTGAGGACAGAATTTGTCAATAATAAACCAGAGTGAAATGTAAACAAAGGCACACCCTTGTTCATGAAGCCCAACAAACCAACCTATCAAAAAGAAAAAAAAAAATCCCTTTAGAAGCATTTTTACCCTGTCACTGCCAGATAATTTTAAAGCACTGGTACAGAATGAGCATGCAAATTTAAATAGACTTATGCAGTTTATGTCTCATGTAACACTGTCCATAAACAAAATTACACTGAATATAGAGAAGTTCTATCCAAAAGGCATGCTAGCACCACATAGCACTTTGGTCCCAGAAAAACTTCCCTTGCAAATCTGTGTGTCATATGCAATAACTGTATTTGCTTATTGTAAACAAAATCGCAGCCACTTTAAGTACAACCACACCCCTCTCATTCAGGCAGGCAATTTCCACTGCTCCCATTATGAATTTACCAGGGTGGTGTTGTATCTAGCAGCAGCCTCTACATGGCAAGTACAAAAAATACCTAACAACTTTTAAGCGTGAGGTGCAGAATTTGCTATGTGTGTGTTACTGCCCTCTACCCAGGGACCTTTCAACCCCAAATAGTGGAGTCCTACTAACAGCGGCAGAATCAACATTTTTCATTAGCGTCAAAACCTTCCGACTGGCATCACAGGGACTTTTTGTGAACAAGACAGAGAAAAGGAGGACACATTACTTCGTTGGCCTCTCAAATTACTGCTCAGCTGATAATTTATTTCTAAGCATATCCATAGTTTCTCTCAAGTATTTGGAAAATGAAGTTTCTTAAGCATTAATATAAAAAATAGTCTCAGTTTTCAAAATGTATACTCACATTCCAAAACATCTAAGAGTTGAACATGGAAAAATGTACATACAGAGTTCTGCATTGCAACAGGCCCGAGTAAGAAACAAACACACAAGTACATAAACTTCAGCTTGTTCCTTTCAGTCCAGTTCTGCAAGATGCATTTTCTTTTTCAGGAATCTTGATCTGCTGGAGCAGTTGTAGCCGTACGTACCAACCACCTTCAGCTGACTTGTACGGAGTGATACAGCTTTGACCTCAACTAATGGTAAAGCCAGTGAGCTTTTGGGGTTGTTGTCGTGTCCGTCCCCCCCCCCAAAAAAAAATAGTCTGCACTCAATACTTTTCAAAAGCTGCTCTGCATCTCAGAGAATCAGATCTGCTCCAACATGAAGCTCAGCACTGCTGTAAAATAAATAAAACTCAACTGCTGGAGCATTCTGTGTTATCCACTGGAGCATTCTGTGTTATCTGCGTATGCAAATGAATGTGCTTAGCACTTCAGCGTTAACAACTTGGCCATTGATATTACATGCTGGAAAAAAGACAGCATTTCAGAGGAAAAAGAAAAGCTGCCTACCCTGGAAAACCACCAGGTGAGTTTTTATGACTGTTTTCCACTGCTGCCCTTTTGTGAACCAGAGGACATTTTCCCATTAATTGTGTTTATCAACTCTGAGAGGAGGGGGATGAATCTAAGCACAAGTCAGAGATACTCTGTGATTTCTTTGTCTAGCATGGAGATCTATGCAACAGGGGCTATCAAGTGTCTACCATCACTTTATGTCCTATGTGGTTTGGGAGTTGAAAGCAACACCTGTACCCTGCCTGCTTTGTGTTAGGCCTGTGGACACCCTGAAATTACCGAGCAGTAAATTGTAACTTCCACATGAGTATGACTAGATTTTAAACTGGGGGATGTTTTCTCCTACAAAACATCCTGATTCCAATTTTTATCCAAAGGTGTTACCTGAACTTGTGTGTGGGAGCCCTTTCTGCAAACATCTGACACAGCATGGTGTGTCATGGCAACTACATCACACGAGGAAACGGCCTTCGCTCTTCAGCTGCCACCACATACCAAGAGGCACAATTCAAGGTCTCAGCAGAAGCGTAAAGCTTTCTTCTGATCCTATGGAAATGATTGGTGGCTTTACAACTCTTTACTCTAGGGGAAGGTAGTGTCTCACTATTGGAGTTGCTTTACCTTTCAGGCTGTGTTCCACTTGTTTGTTTCTCAAGGTGAAACTCCAAAACAAAAGCCTCACTTTCTCCCTTTTTGTACCTGTTAAAGCATTTGCTTTTGAAGTCTGCCTATGGCAAATAATACACTCCCTGCTTTTTGTGCGTTTCTGCCGCAGCGGCAGCCAAGTTTCAAGGTAAACTGCATTTCTGGAAAAGTTGTTGCTGTTGTCCTAACAGCTGTGTCACATGAGGGGATGTTACTGAAAAGCCAACCCCCATTGAAGACTTCAGCGTTTCCTCTTCACTGTTACTTTTGAGAGAAACAACAAACAGCACTAGCTTTGTAATTCAGTGGCAGAACTAACTGCTGGTTTTTTATTTAGTGAAGGGCTTCCTCTTGCTTAGCCAGCACTTCATATTCACTGAAGACCAGCACAAATTCCATAAAGACATAACCAGTCATTGCTCAGAAGTGAAGAACATAAAAAAGCAACAAAGATCAAAGAAGATTGTCCACAGCCACACGTAAAGAGAAAGTTGCCTCCGATCTGTTCACATTCTCATGGTTTCTTCTATGAATGAAGAAACAAAGTTCTTCATTCCAGTGGAAAAAATGGATTATTCATTCCACAAATGTTACACCATAGAATTAAGAAAAAAACATAGGAAGAAGGAACAGGAGTAATTGCTGCAGATAAAGCTGCTGATCAGATCCTCAGAGGTGAGCATGGATGCTGCCTTGGGCACTGGCACAGTGTTTTTCAACTGCCACAGGTCAATCAGAAGTTGATGAAATACTTTCTCTCCAGTCTCTGGTGGCCAAACACAGATCTCACTCCACACAAGACTGCTCCAGGCAGTGAGGCTCTGCACAAATGGCGTACATTTTCCCTCCTAGTGCAGATCCTTTGAACACAGGTATCCCCCAACTCATTCACAAAGGCATAATTTAAAAAAGCAAGTGGCAGGCTAGTTCAGCAAGCAATATGTAAACAAGACAGTTGCTTGGTCAGACTCCTGTGCTGACCCCTACATACCATCTCCAAAGGCCGTTTACTCTGACACAGAAGGCAGAGAGCAAGAGTTTCTTCTCAAAGTGGCAATGTCACTTTAGAGTAAACTATCGGAGACATTGGGACTATATTCATCTCCCATATTGGTCCTGGGCTGCTGCTGAGACCTTGAATTGTAATAACAAGGCCCTTGTCTTAGCCAGCTTTAGAGACTACAACAGATGCATCCCATCAGATAATCCCTGAACCACTGTGCAAGATGTACACCGTGCAATGTCAATAACCTCACTCTCTTCTCAGTAGGTCGCCAGTAAAGCTCATTACAGGAAGCTGGCTCTGTCCTTCAACAATGTGACAGGTGATTCTCGAGGAAAGGAACTGTTCTCACTTCCTGTAGGACTGGCTGCCTGCAGAAAAACAGCAAGAAAGGGTCTGTCAGCTGAAAGCAGGATTTATTTCAAGACAGGAGCTGCCTGAGGGCAACACTTGTTCAACCTGTACAGTGACACAAACACTGCAAAGAACATGCACAAAGGCACCTTAACCACTGACGTTGCAACTTAAAAATGCAGGATGTATTTATGGCAACCACCTGTCAGGGGACACTGAAAGAACTTGTGGAGGAGCAGGGAGTCACCAGGGCCCAGTGACACCCCTGACAAAAATCATTCCTCATTCTTCCAGTAGAGATTTTTGTCCTACTCTAGCTCCACTGTGCCCTAGACAGAACTTGGTACACTGCAAACAGCTTGAGCAGGCCCGTGCAGAGGGGCTTGGAACAGGTGCAGAGTAAGGAACGGAATAGATTAAACCATTCAACCACATCCACATGGAGCACATATGTGCAGTTGAAAAAGTCTAGATTTGGAGGTCCACCTTATGTTCTAGCCATGCCGCCAGTGTCATCCTTGTACCAGCTAGGAAGTGGAATCCACAGAAAATCCCAGCATGGCTGGTTTTATTTGGAGGAGCTTGGTTTTGCTTTGAGGTACAGCTTTAGAGCTCGGCTAACAGCAGCGGACTGCATCTCAGGCAGGAATCTCGCCCCAGGCCCGTAGCTGCACTAAGTACCTGTGCTTCCTCTGCATTCCTCAGGCATTCCACACACTCCATGCTCCAAGAGGAGCAGTCCTGCTAGTTCAGCTAGGTTTATGTAAAAGCAACTTATTTCCAGAAAATACACCTATAATAAATATTAAAAGCAAGCTAAAAATATGTCTCTAAAATAAGTGAGCGCATCAAGTTAAGTACAATCAGAAACTCATCTTTTTCTCATCATGCCCATCAGCTATAAAAACTTGTATTTCTCCAGAAATACCAAGAAATCCACAAACTGAGGACAGTCTTCCACTGGGACAGTCTCTTGATATGTAAAAACCTACATACCTATGCAGCAGGCAAATGGGAGGCAGCAATTGCTGAAATCTACTGATTGCTGATATCTGTGCAGCTGATACCAATTTTGACTTACAGATAAGTCAGCTAGGAAATTAAAGGAGCAGTAGCACAGAGCTTTACTAGGGAAACATTAGGGGCTCACCTGCTTCAGATGCCCCCTTGCACCTTTAAGTAACAGCTGGGAATTTAATTACCAGGTTTGGACATAGGTGCTTAAAGCCCTTTTTAGTCCTTTAAAAATTTGGTCCTTATCACCTTCCTCTCACTTTTCCCAACCATGAAAACCTGTGTGAAAGGCCCTGCAACATGGACAATAACTAGGAGGTGCTCTGTGACAGCAAACAGCAATGCAGGATACATATACACAAAGTGAGTGGAAGATGACTTGTTTGCAAAATAATTTCTTTGCTATTTTTAGCAGGAAGATAAGAGTTTAACATTCAATTGCTGACACCAAGTCTGTCTCATGGCACATGTGGACAGATAGAAAACAATTACCTGGAACCCCAATAGAATACTCAGGAGAAAAGGTAAATGGACACATAGTAAGATGTGATGCCCGCTATACCTGCTTTAGGATGCACAGACACAGCAAAGATAAGAGGTATATTGTAAGACAAATCCTATCCAATAAAAGTTAGAAGAGCTCAAGTGTCTGGACTTACAAATTACATATACTGACTCAACAGAGAAACCCAAGTGATGTAGAACTCTGATCACGCTCTGCTTTAATGCAATTTCAAAATAAAATACATTAATAAAATACATTATACACTGTGCCACTGGAAAAGGAACTTACTCCAGAGCCCTATGAGAGCAACATATGTATGTCGCATCTTTAATAGGACACACACACCCAGGAGTGTAAAGCTGCCCTGGAGAAACTAGAAAATGCAGAGGAGTTTTTGGGCACACACACACACTATGCTTTTCCCTTCTTCAGCAGAGCTTCTCCTTTTCAATGAGCTAGTGCTTTTGTAAATGAACCGAAACAGGAACAAGGGACAGACTCTCGGGTGTTAACACCACATTCAGTCAGGGCAGAACAGTGCTCCAATGACAGGAAACAGAAACAGAAAGCACTGATGTTGGAGGTAAAACACAGGGCATATGAAGCAAAAGTAAAGCAGTTATTACCTAAGCACAGGACTGTTCAAGCAAGTAGTCTCTAGGTCAAAACCTCCCTTAACCACCAAGGACATTCTTTTCCATTGCCTCACCTGTACTCCCTGAATGAAACCACCCCATCTCCCTGCACATGCAACTATGTGGAACAACAGCGAGTGAGCAACACAGAAGCCTTAGGAAGCTCTTTCCAGCTCTGTTGCTGATTTACTAGGTTATTTCAATTCTCTGCGTCTCATTTTCCCTACCCGTAATGAGGAGCTAACGATATACATATACCTCAGATTTCTTGGGAAGGTTTGCAAGGTATTATGAGTTACCATGTTTTTGTGAAATGTTTAAAGATAACAGTTACAGCTAAAAAATAGACCTGACGTTACATTGTGATCAAATAATCATCACTAAACCTCTTACGATATGTTTGGAATAAGAATATACAGCACATAGCTCCTGCCATTTTCATTGAGGATGGACCCAGAGGTGTATTTGAATCCAGCTAGTGCTATCCACACTCCAGAGAAAAAGCTTACTCATTACTGAAGAATGCAGTCTTATAATCTAATCCCTTATAAACCCTGTAAATTCCCCCTCCCCAAAAAAAACCCCACAGCTTACACACCATACACGTGTTTACTGTTGTGTGAGCATCTGAGATCAACATTTCCACTTTACTGGGCTTGTTGTTGGCTGACTTAAAGCAAACATCCATCCTTTCCCTCTAACCTCAAGTCATGGCCCTCCTCTCTACTGAGCCCACTGCAAACTAGTACTGCTTAAACCTCTTCAGGCAACGACACATCCATATGGTTCTTAAATACAAGTGTCCAGCAGAATGATGACTCCCACAAGCTGCACACCATGTTCAGCTGTCTGCTTACTAGGCTGCCCTGAGCCCATCTTCTCTACATTCAGTTGCAGTGTAGACACACCCAGGGATCCAAATTCAAGAACATTAAACAAGTTACACAGCGGAGTGAACAAGTGTCTAAAGAAAGGGAAAAAGTCTAATGACATCTAGGAAAGTCTAATCTGAGACTAGAAGCTTCCCCCCAAACTTCTGAGAATTTGGGCCGCTTTTCTCCACCCAGAGACAGGAAAAAGCATGTCTCTTAACTGCTCACATGACAACCTGGCAATAGGAGCAGTGTTCAGCAGGATATAATTACATGGTTGTACATCCTGCAGATGACAAGTACAACGTCATATACTCCTGGCACACTGGTAGCATACGACTTCATTCCTGGAGAGCTACTACAGCACTCCCTCCTTTCCCACCTTAAGGACTGACAAACAGAATGATGACTTTTTCCACTTACTCTGTCTGCTCTTTGTGGATGATCCTGAGGAGCTGGGGTGGCTTGTTTGTTGGGGTCCAGACTGAGAGAACTGGGGGGCAATGGCTGGGATCTTTCCCTTTCTAGGGCTGGTGCTCCGCACTTCAGGAGTGCGAGGGATCTTGGGTTTGCTGGTGAAGGCTGAGGGAAATTCGCTGTAGGAGGAGATGGAAAAGGTTAGAAATGCATGAAGAAATATGTATGCATAGTAAGTCTGCAACCAAGTGAAACCTGCAGCACATGCTGTGACAGAATGATAGACTGCTCAAAATTTAGGGAGACTGCAAATGGAAAGGAACATGGCACCACAGTTACTGCCCTGGGGCATGTACTCACCGCACAGCCTCTAAACCTGGCTGTATCGACCTGCCTATCCTACTCAAACCTGGCTCTTTGGACAACAGGATTGAACAGGCTCAGTTAAGTCCCCTGCAAACAAGTAAGAGATCTTTAGCTTGTTTTCCATTGTATTTATCACACACAGAGACTCAATCTGAGGTGCAAAAAACACATAGAAATGCTACAGCACAGGAATACATCCAGTTAGGGCACAGACACTATTATTTCTCCTAGGTATAGGTCACAATCTTGGCAGACACAGACAGCCTCCCTGGCTCCCAGCTGTGATAAGATTTGTAAAACTCCCTGAAGGCTTTGTCAAAAGAGCAAAAAGCTGTGATGGCATCTATGAAATAAATTCCGTAAGCACACAGGTTCCTTGTTCACACTGAGAACATAAAACAGCTGCTGCTATTTCACAGTCTGCATGTGCTGCAAGAACACCATTCTTTAAAATTTAGTCCATGACTGTGTGAGGATACACTGTCCTTCCCTGCCCCCAGCATCATCATATTCTTTCCCAGGTACTAAAAATGGAGGCTACCAGAAAATAGCAAGTCTCTAAAATAATTCTGAATCTATATTCATGTTTGCTCTAGTGAGTCAGTTTTCTCTTAAAAGGAGAAAAGGTTAAACTGAAATAACAGCTACATGAAAAAGCTCATCATATTTAAAAAGGAAAAAAAAGCAGAGCCAAAGGCAGGAGATCGAAAAAGGTGCCATCTAAAGACAGGCGATTAAAATGGAAGGGCCCCGTGTTATTAGCTCCATCAAAAGAACCCTTTGTGACCATCAGAAAGGGTGATTAGGAGGATTTTCAAGACATTTAATCTCTCCTCCTCCTCTGGGAATGCTGCTGAGTCAGTGCTGATTAGCCCTTCCATACCCCTGCTTCACCTTGCAGGGAGATTTGAGAAAGTGTTTCTTTTGTATTTTAAATAGCATTAATTGTCTGTATTTTGCATATATATATGCTAACTATTAAGGAGAGAGACAGGCTAACTGGCCTGCTAAGAGCCATCTCTGCAGCCCTCTACCTATCTCTGAGTATTACAAATATTGCACTTGTCTCATTTCAAAGTAGGAGGTGGCAGATGGCAGCAGAAACATACTAGCAAAACAAAACCAAAAAAGTAAGATTGGCTAGATAAAACCCCAAGCCATGGACCACAGAGATATTGAAATATCTCTCTCCATAAAATAGTCTCATTGTTATTGCTTTTTTGTCATTTTATTCACTTTGGTTCAAGAGCTGGGTTTTCAGTTCACTACTGCTCTTCATGGTAATCTTATGTGTACTATGATATGCTAACATAGACAAAAAAGGAAGATCCTACAGCCTCACAGCAGTTTTTCAGCCATAAATGAGCTTTTTTTCCCTTATTCAGCAATAGATAACAAAACCCTGGATCTGTATTCCCATACACTAAAAAGCGTTTTTATAGCCATCAACGATCTTCACAGAGTTTCAGCGCAGTCACTAGGCAGCTAGACTGTAAGCGCTTTGGCAACAAAGCAAAGTAATGCAACCAGAGTCACTATACTTTACCAAAGAGAGAGATACACAGTGGTCACACAGGATGGCTCTCATCTTTACAAACTCTTCGGGAAAGGATTATATGAAATAAGCTGGTAGCAAACACTGTAAAGTTGAAAAAAACCTGCTGTTTTTCTGACAGGGTGCAGAGCAGATCTCGGTCTCCATGCGCCCCGGTGTCACAGAACCACCCCATATTTTACTACATCAATAAATAGGCCAAGATCAACAGAAAAGAATTAATCCTCAGAATAACACAGAAAACTGCTATTTGTTTTGCTGCATACTGCTACTGTATTTGGAACTGCTATCCTTTAGAACTTGATGAGATGAAGAAAGAAGAAGTAAAATCTACTGTGGGAAAATGTTCTGTAGTATTTGGTAAAGGAGTCATTTATGACAAGGTGTGGTAATTTCAGAGCAAGTGCTCAAACAAAAAAACCAACCAAACAAAAAAACCCACCCCAACAACCAAACAAAAAACCAAACCCACAAACTCACAGAGAAATCTACATTTGCACTGAGAAGAAAGAAAACTGTTTACTTGGAAAAATGGAAATAATTGTCTATAAAAAAGTGCACAACAGACTGACACTGGGATCGGAATAATCAACCAGGAGACGTGACAGGACCTGAACATACGAAGATGAGTTAGACCATTTTCTCCAAGAGAAAAACACTTGGACTTTTGGCCATTTTTACCAGATTGTCAGAAAAGCAAGACCATTAGAGACCTAAGAAGGCCCTGCAGAGTTTAAGCTCTTTATTATGATTATACTGGACATAGTCACAATAAAAAAATAAAGGCTTTTTCAGCCAGCCACAATTGTAAACGCAAGTCTATTACAAATTTATCCTTGATTAGCTAAAAAGCACAACAGACCTATATTCTTACATGATCAAAATGCAGCAGGGAATAGCAATGCAGAGGCAGCTGCCAGTCTGACATGCATTATTTCCTGTGGAAATAAAACGACTGCAATAGACATGTCACTACCAGGGCCTCATTCTTCTCTCACACTGATTTAGCGTAATTTCACTGATCTCTGGGCAGTTAAATTCCCAATTTATACTGCTAAGGAAGAGGGAAAATAGCAGTGACTGCTTCATCACCACAACTCAGCCCTCCTTTTCTCATACATGTCTTCTAAGGAGGACTTGGTATTTGGCTAGTAGGAAGGAGACATCTCTTACAGTGGTCAAAACTATGACCAAAGCAGCTATTTATTCGCTCTGTTTGTTTTGCAAACAAATTAAAGTATGCTTCCAAGAATGAAAGAATGAAAAGGCAGTTCTAGCTATTGCAACACCAACATATTAACAGAACACCCTTGACGTAGCAAACCCTTTGTTTGCTTGGACTGTGAATGGCTACATTCCCATATCCGTAACTGGAGGCTGCATTTGTAAATACAAATTACTGTACGCATGCTAAGGAAGCATGCAATGAAAATATATTATCTTCTTCTGCAGGATACTGCACCTATGCCTTTAGTTAGACATCCACCTATACTGAGATTTAGACATACGTTTATGAAGAAAAATTAAAGATTACTGGGGACACATCTTTTTAATAATAGATTATAACTGTAGAGAAGCAAAGCCTCTCACCAAGGTGGGGGGCAAGATGCTGCCAATTTGGCTTGCTTCTTGCAAGCCAAAGCCTGAAAAATAATCTCTCTCTCCATCACAAAGCAAGCAACTTGGCCATAAAATTCTCATGGTCTATTTGTATTAATATGTGCTTAGCTACTGTTAGGACAGACAACAGAAATAAAACCAGTAATGCTGGGATAGGGGTATGACTACTAAGCACTTCAGCTGCTAACCAGTCATAATTTGTTGACAATATATAATTTGTCAGATCTCACCATGGAACAGCACAACCTGGGGAAAAAAAAAAAAAACCCAACAAAAACAGAAAACCACACCAAACCCCCCATACCTCCCAAAACCACACACAGGCATCTGTAGGCCAGAAGGAAACAAAGCTCTAAGCAGAGAGTCCAGTTTTCAGAAGTGCTAGAGCTTTAACTGACACAAATAACTAAGCACTTCTGAAAAATCAGATCCATAAAGAGTTGGTAAAACCTTTCCTTTAACACATCTCCACCCATTCTGTGTTTTACTTTTGGAATGTACTTGCTTTTAAAATTTCTCTACACTCACTGTTTAAAACTTGGCCCAATCAAATTAGCTATAGGAAAAAGCTGTTAATGTCTGAAGGACACATGCAGGCCCTGAAAAACTTCGGTAAACCTTGGCCCCATTGCTAATGAATTCCTAGTTCTCATCCAAGACATAACATCACAGTCCTACATATGACAAAGGCTTCACAGAGGGCTCAAGGTATGATCAGGAGAAGGAGAGCAAGATCTTTCATCTTCCTTTGACAGAAATTATTTCAAGGAAGAGTTGAAACCCATTGCTGGGAGAACTCATAATATTGCCTCCCTTGATATACCCGTCTAATGGATAAATCAGGGACTCTGGTCAGCAGTGCTAGCAACTCAGCATGTTTAAACGCTCTGAATCCACTTAAATGCTTAATTTTTGTTCCTTCTGCAAGTTAATTCCTGCCCTGTTCCCACAGTCCTACCTATTTCTTTATTAATAAATTTTTCATGGGTTAGAGTCATCTAAGGAAGCAATCAGGAAGTTTTATTTGCAGAAGACTGTGTTGTGCATACATGTGAAGTTCATTAATAATGTCTTGCTTGAGATTTCTCCCATTCTGGACCAGATGCTTAGAAATCGAACAGCTGCCTCTGGCACAGCTAAGGGTATTTTGTTTGGCAAGAACCACCACAGCTGTCTCAGACCAGACTACATCATACATCAAATGACTTCACAGATTGTCTTTACAGCAGCATGGAATTAGCTGGTAAGTCCCCTCAGACTCCTCTTGCACTTTTAGATACTCCTCTGGATAAATCATACCTATGCAATTGCCCGTTTACTTTGTCCTGGGTGAAGTCAGTAGATCGGGAGGACAAGATATTGTCATCAGCTGGGATGCTTCGGTCCATCCTATGGCCTGATGAGAACACTTTAGATGACTTCATTTCAACTGCTATTTAAAAAAGAAACACAGTTCAGCAAGGAGTTGTCTCTTTACAATTTTACTAGAAACACAGTCGAGTCACAGTTCCTGCTGTATGAAGGAAACCTTGAGATAATGGCAGGCTTCTGAGTTAGTGTGGCAGAGTGCATTATAGCTCATCAGCTGAGCCAAGCCAACTGCAAGTATGCATACTTCCAGCCCTTTGCAGTTGGAAAGTAAAACATACTTGGATAATTTTCAAAGCAGCTACATTCTGCATTTGCAATGGGCTAGGAGCATGCAGACCACCAGTTAACATATATCAGCTAAGGACCGATATCTCATTAAAGCCACAGGAATGAAACCACTTGCAGTTGTCTGTACATATCCATAGTAACAGGCAGCCACCGTGGACAAAAAACAGTGTTTTGCACTTCTGTCAGGCTTCAGGCCTATTACATTTGTTCAATATATCTCACTTTCTGCCTTGCACTACTGGAGAAGGGAAGGACAGTCAGTTTGCTGAGAGACACAAGGCTACCAAGATGTGCAAGTTCAGTAAGAGTTTAGGGAAAATCCCTAGCTCCATTTCTCCCATGCTCAGGACAGGTTGCCATCCTGATTTGCTCTCACATGCTGATATGGATGCAGATCAGGTCACTTTCAGACAAGCATTTGGCTGCCCAGCGCATGTTCTGTCTGACATTCAGCATAGTAAGTGTAGTAAGATGACCAGGGTTCATCTTTAGTCCACAAGTTTTCTGCTCACAGGAGACAAAAAAGAAAAAAGAGCCAGAATTATTAATTCTTTACCAAAGTGATAAAAAGAGAGGATGGACCCAGACAAAATCAGACCAACTCAGGAACAGCTGAATATATCCAGGCATGGAGGACATTAAGAACTGCTCTCATTTTTAGAAAACAAAAGAGAATCAAGGTTTCTTGAGGCTAAACTTAGCTTCCTTGAGATATGACCTTGATGATGCTAACTGTTCACATGAAGCTTTTATTCTAACCATTTTTTCACTCTTGGTCTCTTACTATTCATTTCATGACTTGACTGCATGAAACTCTGAATCCCAAAGTATTTATGTGATGCTGGAAAACACATATTCTGAAGTGAGCAGGTTCCTGGTACTGCATAATGACCATCAGACCAAGATCAGAACTCAAGAAACTGCATATTTATTTCACAGCAAAGATGTTTGGCAGGGCATGATGAGAGTCTCTAGAAGCAGTACAATTATTTTTACACCTTTCTGTTATGTACTGTTCCCTGCCGTACCTTAGAAGGCACTAGAAAGGGCTTATTTTCCATTGTCTTAAATTAAAGCCTTTCCAATTTAAAAATTACAAAACCCACTGCCTTTTGGAAAACAGGGGATGTCCAAAGACCGAGTCCAATTATCATTATACAGAATGAAAGTCCTGTCACTGACTTGAACAACCAGGGGATCCAGCTGTGCAGTCTCTCCCTTCTCTTCTCCTACTCCTTATTTCTAAATCCCAAAGGGTAACACAGACAAGCATGTATTTCACTGGCTACTTGCAAAAACCTGAAACAAACCTCTGGCAATCCTTCAAGTAGCTCAGTGTTGTTTTATAGCCTGGATTAGCGCTAGGAAGAATTGTCTCTGCCATACACAATAATTATTTGTCTTTTTACATGTATAATGCATGTAAACTTGCAATGTGCTGTATATTCTGACCTCCAAGATTTTTCTACAAGAAAAGAGTATAATCTAGTAGTCTCATTAGTATCCACCTGCATATAATTTTGACTGAAAACAGCTAACAAGCTGTTTTAGACAGAGGCTACAAGCAAAGTTCTGACAATACGAAACATTAAAGTTGGCAGGAATTTCTTCAGCATGAAGGCTTTAAATCAATATTCTCCATCAAAAATGAACAACATTTACTTCGCTGACTTACTCAGGCTCCCTGTCTAAACCTCCCCACAAATCTCTACAAGCAAACCATCAGGCAGCATCAGCAGCACAGAAAAAGTGACAAAGGTGAGTGAATGCATTTCACTGGCAAGATATTATCAAAATGTGGTTCAGAAGGCATGCTGGGCTCCTGGTGGCTGCATAATGCCTTAGAAATTGCATCCAATTACACTTTAAAACAAGCAGATAGGAACACCTTTGATACCTCCTTGGCTTAATTTCCTTTACGAAGCATGAGTATGTAAAACTCCATTTTTTTTTTTTCTTCTATATAAGAAAATTGCCAAGTCAGTATGCTTTTGATTAAGTTTACAACCTCTGCTGTTCTGAGTTGCTGCCCCTGGCCAGCTAACCTCCCCGCAGAACAGGCTCAGCTATACTCAAGGTGCTACTGCGCAAAGCGAAGCTTGAGGACAGCAGCTCTCATTCCTACACAACAGCGAGAACCCAAGTGCCCATCTTGAACAGGAGCTTCATCTGCGTCTATCATACGGCTTTCATTCAGCTTATTATATTTATCAGCTCTAGGCATTACGCAAGCAAATTCCTGTCTGCAAGACCTTGGTTACTTTTCTCAGAATCCTTTTCATTTCCTCTAGGAAATTTAAAAAAAATAGAAGAGAGGGTAAGAAGTATGCTATTCCTTTACTGCTTCAAAGCATATTTTTCACGAAAGTAAAGGCGTGCTTTGTCTGAACTTACTAATAATTCTGTACCGGATATGCTGCAAGATCCTTTACCTAAGACTGCAGAACATTTTACCTTAAATCCCTAATTGGAAATGTTAATGAATCCCTGCAAGAAGGTTGAAACTCCCACATCCGAAGTTCCATGATCCTGTGGATATCGGAAGTTCAGAAATAAAGTATTTCAGAAGCCTATAACCTTTTAAATTCCATCACATGTTTCTGAGCTCTCAGGTCCAGCTGAGTTTGCATTAATTTCAGTTTAAGTTGCAAGGACAGAATCTTTAGCAGCATCACCCACAATGTAGCTATACAGCATAGGGCTTCCCATCCTCCACAACCTTTTATGGTTTGAATGTAGTTGCAAATCTAAGCAGATAACTGCAGCTGCCTTCAACTTTAATACAGAGGTCCAGCCAACAGAGCCTGCAGGTGCCAGCAGACAGTGATTCATTTAGATCCAAACAAGGGTATATTTGATCAAGTAAGGGGCTTTGCCTGTTGGGAAGTGCACTGTCTCTGGGCTGCAGCTCTTTCCCTAGGCAGAGGACATTGCGGAGTGAAATACTTTGCACATCGGAAGCCCTGGGTATGATCCTTGGCCCTTCCACAGGAAACAAGGTGGAGCAAGGCAAGTGAGACCATTGGTCTCTGCTGACCACACATTACCTTCTGTAGCCATTCATTCAGCTCGAGCCAAAATCCAACCGTGTGCCCCAAGGTCTTGCAGACTGCCCCAGGGTCTACAAATGGAGGGTCAGTTCCAAGGCTACATTTAAAAAAAAAAAATCTACAACGCACAAGCTAGGCCCCAAACGCCTGCCCCAGTCAAGAAAGACAGCAACAGTTAACAACAGCGTTCACAGAATATCCTTACATGAAGGGGAAATGCAGAGGTCAGAAATGCTGGACCTGCTCCCACCACAACTGGGAGGATGACCACTCTGCAGAGACTGCAGCTTCTCATCCCTTTCATGACAAGAATTGGTATCGTTTTCTGGCCTGGAGGAGAAAGGAGAATGCAGGGTGATGAATAGTTGCAGTATAAAAAGTTGCATGAGAGTAAATTCTAATTTCTTCTAATTGCCTGTAATGACATAGAAGATATTGAAATTATTTTATATTTCATATTGCAAACTAGTGCTAAGGACATAATTTAACTGCATGACTGTAGCTCCCCCAAACCAGCCGATGTTAGACCTATTTGAAATTAACATTTTTTCCTACTGCAATAAAAGATCCGAGGAAAGGAAACCATAACTCCTTGTAGTCTGAAGACCCAAAATACCAGGCAGGACACTTAAAGAAAAAGACTGTAGCAGTGGGCCTGAGAGGTCTTCAATACTTAGCTTTTTCAAGGATTTAAGACTTGCTCCTGAATATTACAAGGATTTCACTTTACAGAGCAATATGCAATACAGACTTAAAACAAAATAGATAAGAAATAGAACTGTTTGTCTCCCAAGTGAGGTGGATAAATGAGAAACTGAAGTAGCTGAAGGACAGAACAGGGACAAGATTGCTTAGTAATAAGCAATAAAACACAGCAGAAGCAAGAGGGGTGTGAAAAGAAGTTGGCAGACACAGAAAGTTTCCCTGCCCAATATCAGGTTAAGGTAACTAGACTATATTTCTAGTTAGAAAGGATGCAGTCCAAGGAGGCAGTTAATGATTTCACAGCTAAATCAGTTTCTAAGGAAACAGCTAGCAGAATATTAAGTAGTTCAGTCCCCCTTGAGTGATCTCAGCCAGTGAGTCTTTAAAGAGGAGGGGAAAAAAAAAAAAAAGAGAAAAAAAAAGGCAGCTTTCCAGTATTTCCTGGCTCCCTTAGCTCCATACAGCAAGAGCTTGTCCATAAAGGGATCCCATGACAATTCATCTGAAGTAACTAGAGCCTTGTCTGCACAGGGAAGTCATAGAAAAATTAGCATGGAATAGCTGCTACATGTGCAGTGGCTATTCTGCATTAATTTTCTGTGTGAATACTTCTATTCAGCACTAGAAATCCGCTCCCCCCGCCTCCTTTGGAGGTATGAACCAACAACTCAAAGAGATACATTATAGTATCTCCATCAACTGCTTCCTCTTTCACGATGTTTTTAAAATGGCATATGTTACATTGAGTCTCACATGAAGAAATTCAAACAAGTTATATTCACTTCAATTGTGAATGCAAGTATTTAAACTACATTAAAAATTTGTGTAACTACTCTGCTGAATCCAAAACTTCAGATAATTCAGATCAACTGTCCTGGATTGTCCCCGGGTAGACAAGCTGCATATGAGGCTAAAAAGCCTGATGTTTTTCATGCCATTTCATCCGACACAAACACAAGCCACTTAAATTATTTAAAATATGAAATACATCCAGTTCAGATACTGCTTTCAAATTAAGGCAGCTAAGATTTGGTCACTTTTATTGTCTTCCTCTTGCAAGGCTTCCTAAGAGAGTATTTCCTCATTTTAGTAAATGAAGTCGTACTAAAATTAGAACAGTATAAAAGCCATCAAAGCTTGTCCTTTTCTGTTGTAAAATCTAGTTCAAGAACATCTTCATCTATTTACTGCAGTTTTCTTTCCCACAAATTAGTTAGATATAAAATACAAACTTCTCATTCAGGATGGTATCTCATGCTTCCTACTTAAAACATGGGAGCGCCAAACTCATATTATTTCTACCATTTGGCCAGAGCAGGAGGGAAATCAATTTTCACATATTTTCACCATGTTAGATTTCTACTGTTTACATTTTTCCTCCCTAGTTTGCACAGTGAGGCAATCTGTAAAGACTGCTTCACACCATCAAACAAACACTTCTCTTAGACCCAAAGCTCCCAGAACCGATACGGTAGAAAGGTGTTTTTAATTTGTGTCCAGCAGTGACCTGAAGCAGTCTTGTGGAGGCATAAGCTGCGCAGCTGTTCATAAGGAGATTCAAGTTTTGACAAAATATGGGACCAGCGTCACTCCAGTATCCCGGGATACTGTTAAGTAAACATACTGCCTGGGTAGATGGTGGTAAAGAGAGGCACGCGATCACTTCTAGAGATTATTTCTGATGTGCAAATTGTAGTGCGCTACATGGCACCAGGAAATAAAAGCCACTCCCCTGGGTTTGCCACCGTTTTTCTGACTTCCCATAGGAAAGTCACTTCATTTTCACAAGCTTGTTTTTCTCTCCACTTATAAAGCAGGAATGTAATGCTTAGACGCTTCAGTGGTAACTAAGATTTATTCCTGAAAAATACTTTCTAAATAGGCTGTAAGGCTACCCTAACAGCCGATTCCACAGAATCAATCCAGGTCTCCCAGCCCACCATGGGCAAAATCCTGTGCAGGGGAAGTGGGACCTTGAACTCGGTAACACTGACCCCACAGTAAAGTGGCACTGTATATTTAGTCATGTATTAGCCAGTTTAGATTTTTAAGGCCTGCAGTTCTTTTGGAGGACTGCAGGAAAATTATTAGATAATCACTATGCTACTAATATGAGCTTATATTAATTAGTTGCTGTTTCGTTCTTACACACAAATGCACATTTAATATGTAGGGAGAGGGCTTGCAAAAGCTGTGGACATTATGATGGTGCAAAAATTGACCACTGTGAGAAAGGACACAAAGTAAAAACTCCAAATCTGCACCCAGGCTAAACTAGGCAGAAGAAGTAGGCGCCACACTCAAACAGATGACATTTTTTCCAGGGTAGTACTCAGAAGAAAAATCAGGACTGTGCAAGACAAATTCTGCCCTGGGATAGCCAAAGGTTCTTTTTCTGCTTTGGAAATTCATCTTGCCTTCTTAAAAACAAGAAACGTCTTCCAGGGCTTTTTCCACGTCCAGATCTGGTATGTTACGCTTGTCCATTCTAAGGCCCTGGTAACATAATCAATATAATCCTATATGAATGGTACAGCTGCCAAAAAGACATATTTGGATGACTCAGGAGGGGTCCCAGTCAGATCACCTGCTTGTATGAATGCTAATGCCAGCACAAGACAGTGGGGGGGAATAAACATGGGCAAGATAAAGCTGTGACCACTCCCTATCCAAAACAGTAGACTTTGATCAGATTCAACTACACCTGCGTAACTACAGCCTAAATCAGTCCTCACTGTTTTCTGTATGGATCTTCCACACTAATATGGGGAAGAAATGTATTTTAAGAAATAGAAAATATGAACATGAAAGCAAAGAGTGGCAGGGGGGATGACACGGGACAGTCTTCAGACTTCAGGACTGTTCTTCTAAGAACCACCTCTACATTCTAACTTCATTACACTGTTGTATTTCAGGTTACCCATTCATTTTAATGTACTTAGCTATACCAATACTGTGACTTTTGAGTACTATTATCTATACTTTGTTAGAGTGACTTGTAGTCTCTCAGCTTAAGTATCTGCAGAAATGAAAACATTAAATCCTCATGATAAACTGCTGCCTGTATCATAGCTACCTGGATTTGATCAAATCCAAAACTGTATGCAACTGAAAGTAAAAAGTCATTTACATTTGAGATCTCATTGGTATTTTACTTCCTCATTCAGGACAGTGAAAAGGAGAATTCTCATCTCAGAAATTAAAAGATTAAGATATACTCGTTCTAACAGAAGGCAGAGAATATTCAAGGAGCTCTATACTCTAAGATTTCTTTATTCCATTTACAATGCAGCCTTCTACCTCTGACCCCAGTCACACCAAGAGCAAGGTGTCACAGACCCTCCCGCTGGAAAATGTATTTCTTCCAAAGCAGGAAAAATCTAACATAACAAGATTTTTGTCTTTCCCATTTTCTTTTTAATCTGTCCTCTTATGGGTGTCTAGCAAATTTCCCCAGAGCAATATACTTTCTTGCTTATAAAGTGGAAGATCCCAGGCATTTTAGACACTCCATGTAACTTACCAATAGAATATATTATGAGAAGATGAAAGGACTATGAACACGCAGGATATAATGCAAATTTAAATCAAACTGATCGGTAAACATTTACTCAACTATTCCAAGTATGTGACCTCAGCCAATGGACCTCTCTCTGCCCACAACATTCCTCTCCTTTCTTTTTTTGAAATTATCTTTAAGGAATGACAATGGCAATGCACTTTTAGGTAGGGAAGGTTTATTTATCCGGACTGGTGGGAAGTATGTGACCTCAGCCAATGGACCTCGCTCTGCCCACAACATTCCTCTCCTTTCTTTTTTTGAAATTATCTTTAAGGAATGACAATGGCAATGCACTTTTAGGTAGGGAAGGTTTATTTATCAGGGACTGTTGGGGGTTTTTTTGTTGTTTTGTTTTTTAAAGGAGCTTAAAAAAATCCAACTTGGTCTCATTTGTTTGGACTTACATTAGGCACACAGTTCGGTGATAACCTGGCGTCACAGGTCTCTGGAGAGGCTCATCTGTACTCTGATGGACACCAGGAAACAGCTTCTTCTTGGTTTTTGGAGTATGAGTCATTATCTGATACATAGGAAATAAAGAAATGGGGGCGGGGGGAAGAGAATGCAGTGGAAAGACAGGTAACTGGAGCCATAGAGAAAATATATAGAAACATTATATATGTTTCTATAGAAACATTGCATCAGAAACTTGTTACATTCTGGTGTCACTAGATAAAATTGCCTGGAATCACTGTAGGCTGTTCCATGACACCTTATCTCAGGCCACATTTCCATCACCAGCATTGGTAGACCTACGGATTCCGGGATCCAGAAGGCATACAGTCGCATTTATCTCAAATTGGTCACAGCACACTAAATGGCATTTATGCAAACTTTATGCTTTTTTACTTAGTGGCTTTTTGCTGCTTGAGGTAAGACATACAATACTTGATCTGGAATAATTCCTGCAGGAGCAGTTAACTTTTCAACTTTTTTTTTCAAAATAATTTCAGACCAGCAGAGTGTTCCAGTATTAACTTGCTCAGCACTTCGCTTTGTGTGCCCACAGAGTCACTGATGTAGCACTAGAACCCTAAGGCTGCCTTTAGCTTATTATTAAGCCACAGCCTGACTACCTCCTGTGAAAGGGTAGCTACCTTTCTCAAACTTATTCTACTTCTTCTGAACAGCAGCTAATAAAACAGACTGTGAAAGATTTGGACTGCTATGCAGGTAGAACCCGGCTCTTCAAGCAACAAATTGAAGAAAAGATTTTAGAAAGTGATGAAACTACTGAAATTAAACACTTAATCCAGCAAATTAATTTATTTCAAGATCCTAATGAGTAGTACTCACTCCCAAGTACTCAGTTGTTAGCAGCTTCTCTCCTGCAAGCTCTCCCAGTTGAGGTTGCAAAACCTCGTCTTTGTCCAGATCAGCCTCCATGATGTCATGGTCCTCCTGCAACAGCAACATGCATGTTATTTGATCCCAGGTTCCAAGAAGTTTTCATTTCAAGTTTAGTTCTCACTTCAGTAGTCACTTGGATGATATGTACTGCCCAGATAAATGACTGTTAGTACTGCACATGTAAGTCGTAATGTACAAGCATTTTGCACCAAAAAAGCAGACACCTAAAGACAAACTCACCTAAACTTTTGATATAACCAGAAACTAAAGAATCCTGAAAGAAGAAAAAAACCCACCCCTTTTTCCACATATGCTATGCCAAAAAGTACAGTATGCATTTCAAAAGTCATTCTCCTTCAAATTTCCAACCCCAAATAATTATTCCTTGCTTGACCTAATAAAGGCTCAGGAAAAATCTCGGTCATTAGTATCTTTGTAGAACACTGCATGCTAGTCTGAAGAGATGCAATGCTCCATCCTTAACAAGCAGCTGGTATGAAGTTTGGAGTTTTAGTTTTTGCAGATGTGCCCAAGTCAATCTAGTCATACAGTACAGGCTAAAGAAAACCAACCTGATGGCATTTCTCAGCCACACTGGAGGCTGAGAAAAGGCTACCCTTGTTTTAAAAAAAAAAAAACCTGAAACTTAAGGTCAGTCAATTCTAAAAAAAAAAAAAAGGGCACAACAAAGTTATCATTCAGGCAAAGAGGATGGTAGGAAACTTGACAGAAAACTTGTCTGGATCTTGTTATGCATCAGTATCATCTGACAGTAATAAAAGCATAAATTTAAGTTAGACTATAACAACTAGCAGTAAAAATAAAGTGAGTACACCTTAAAACAATTCATAGTCTTTCCTGAACATAATGCTAGCATTCCATGAGACTGAAATGCCCATATGGATATTCAGCACTTTGGGGTACATCCCCTTGACAAAAACACTGAAGTAATTTATTGCTGTTTATTCCCTAAGAAGGAGAAAAAAACCCAAAACATTTTATTACTGATTTTCAAGAAATAGAGGCATAATTTTTAATCACTCAAGACAAAAAAATCCTTATTGCTGGGCATTCAAAACCCCTCCTCAAGCAGTGAGGTGAGACCACAGGTGTCCGACAGCAGCTGTTTTTAGAGCAATGTGAAGCAGCAGCAGCGGCAGCTGCAAACTCAGGTTTGCAAGGAAGCTTTAAAGCTGACAATATCGGGCTGGTACAAAATTCTTGGAATCAGTAGTTTAGGATACAAATACCATACAAGAAGGTAACAATCCTCTGTTGACTTTATTCCACAAACACCAAATGTAATCAACTTCTCAAGTGAAAAGTACCAAGAATTCACTCTCCTGTGCCTATTTCTAGTATAACTATGGGCGATTCATCTTTCATGGAAGTTCTGCAGCTTCTATAGATCTACAAGCCAGGAAACTTTAAAGTTTGAGGGACTTCTCCAGCAAACCAAAAGTAGTCATACAAGAACAAGATAGTATCTTTGCTTGTGTTTTGCTACTGAAAAAAATTCTCTTCTGTGCTGCAGAAGATACCCTAAATAAGACCCACCCCAGATGAAGAAAATGTGCTTTGCTTTTGAAACAGGTTGTGACAGTAAATGTAAATGACTGTCAGAAAAAGTAAATGAATCATTCTAATAAGGTATATTGTAATAGTAATGTAGAGAGCCTGGCATAAACTCCATTAAAAACAATGGCCACTGAACTTTGATGAGCTCCAGAGCACAAAGAAAATGATAAGCAGTTTTGCTTTAGTGAGATTTAGATTCAAGTAGTTTTAAATAGCCAAAGTAAGAAATACCCTCTGCCACAAAGATTAGCCAATAATATGGATGCTTGGATAGTGCTCTATGAAAACAGCATGAGGAAAAAAACATTGGAAGTGTGTACAGGGAAGGTATTTCCTACAGTGGAAATGGCCGACTGATGGTGCAAAATAACGAGACTGCCATCACTCAGACCAAGTAGGTGCTGGCTTCCCCAGAGCTCTACAGGCTTGCCTTTTTTCAAGTTTAGTGAACTCTGTACCAAATGGCTTAAAAACCGTAATTTTTGTTTTGATTTAGTTATTCTCATTGCTCATCACCTCCTCATTCACAGGCACCAAACAGATAAAAAGTACAGACACAAAGGGCTCAATTCAGTAGCCCACAGCACCATCCAGTTCTACTTTGAAATATCCTGCCTGGTCTTCCACTGGGGCTCTGAAAGGGCACAAGCCTCCCACAGGTCCCAAGTCATATCCGACAGCCTTGTGCAGGTGCATGTATTTGTTCATGCATGGATTTAATAAAAAACCTAGTTCTTCTGTCAGTGCTTTGAAGATATCAGATTGTTAATCCTCTTCATCCTCCTAAAGAGGTATTCTCTAGATGCTCAGCCATAAAAGATAAGGCTGTATAGGACCTCAGGAAGATGTTCAATCTGCCTTTATCTCCAAGGCAAGATAAGTTACAATCAGCTCCTAATTACCTGGAAAGCTGGGTAGGTGTGAAAAATAACCCAGATAATGGAAAAACACAGATAAACACTTGTAGACTAGGCAACAACGTCTGTATCAAGCAAAACAACCCCCCTCCCCTCCAAACTCCACAATACACTGTACTTTGAAAAAAACCTAAAAAGTTGCAAAGATGAGCTTCATAAATAGTCTGGTGGAATTTTTTTTTATATGGTATGTTAATGCAGCATCAAGAGCTAACAATTTTCTTCAAGGATGCTTTATAGAAGACTGCCTACACTGTGCCTGGGTAGAGTGTTACATGTTACAGTCAGAACATCTCCGTGCCCTTTCATCCAGCTCTCTGCATGCACGATGCATTTAACTTCTCCTCACAGATCGCCTTGGTTTCCCCAGGTTACACCTCTTCCAGTATTCTGGTTGACACGTTTTGTCAGACAGAGAACGCCAGTTTCTGGGAAGTACCTCTCCCTGCCAACCTTGCTCCCTGACGTTATTTAACATAACAGGTAACTGAGCCTGAATGTGTCCCTCCTCTGCCTCCTTGTACAGAAAAACAGCTTTGATAGACATGCCATCATTCCGCTGCCGAAATAACACAATTGGTGCCCTGTTCACCATTGCTCACAAGCTGCAGCAGACGTTGGCAGCAAAGTCTTTTAATGTAATGGCTTGAAGTCCTGCGATTAGGTCTGCGATTAAGCTCTCTTTCTTTTGATGTACTCTCTAGCTGAAGTGTATTTTCACACTGCAGTTTACTGATTTTATTGCCAGGTGCTGAGTGACGTGGGATCAGAGGGTGTCTGATAAATTGTCACTGTACAGTTATCTAATGTAGCTCAAGTTTATAACTAAACTTTTGAATTAGAGCTACGATATCACATATTCACTTTTACAAGCAGCTTTTAAAGATGGTCCAAGTCAAATAAAAAGCAAATGTAAAGATCAAATACTGAAGATAAACTAAGTTACTATTAACAGAACAGTCGAGAGAATATTAAGCACCAGAAAATATGCACTGTGACTATGGGTGTCAACACACCCCAGATGGCCATAACGAAGGTGGGTATGTACTCCAGAAGCCAGTGCATCCTGAGCTCTACACTAGTTAAGTTAAAGCTCAGCAGACAAAGCTGAAAGCCAATTTATTTCTGAATAACAGTATACACAGACTTTTTTTATTCCGTTTATATGCTCCAATGTCACACATTACGGAATCTTAAATTTCCGAGTGTATGATGCCCTTAGAAATCCCAGAATTACCCTCCAACAGGCTAAACCACATCTCGGTGGCAGCGTTTAGGAGAAAGTAGTCATTACCACAAGATCTGCTCAAAGCCAAGACAGAATTCAAGAACTTTAAATTAAACACAGATAAAAGCAAAAAACCATGAAAGGTAATAGTAACAGCATGGGGAACCTTCGCATGCTCTTGGAAACAATAAAAGCTGGGGCAAAACTTGCAAACTAAGTCTGCATAAGAGAGTCTTTTTGTTGTTTCTTAAGTTGTGAAGGTATAAATATTGATATTAAATAGATCAGCAACAAATTGTAATATCAGTAAGCAGTCTGAATGCATGTCATTAAATTGTCAATATATGGACATATTCTGAAATACATTCAGTCTGTAGTAGTTTTTAAAAGTTATGTAAAGGCAAGACTTTTGATAAAGTTTTCCAAAACTTTCTGTTGCCAGATCACAACATCAGATGTTATCACAGAACCCCATCAAAGAACAATAACTCACAGCATTTCCAAAATACAAAAGGGCTCCAAGCATTGAGGCAGTGAGTCAACAAATCTTTGCTTATTTAACAAAGGAACAACATTATGTGTTTTGTGTAGCATTTTGCTGCCATACTGTTTGTATACTGTATTTTCTAAACTGAGGGACTAAGAAACCAGGCCTCCTTGCAGCAGAACAGAATTAAAGTTCCCAGCAGCAATAAGGATCTAGAACGTGCCACAATTAATGTTATACTAGAAAGTTTTAAAATTGGCTTAATGAGACTTTTTCTTTTTAATATAATGGCAAAGCTAATGAAAAACTGGAATCAGACACTTCTCTGTTTCAAAAGCCTACTGTTATTTTTGACTCAAATAATAAGTGACAGAAGTCCATTTTAATCACGTGATGGTTCAGTGGTAAAAATACATTTCAAAATTATTTGACCTAGAGCCTTGGCTGGGATTGTGAGCAGCAGCAGCTTGTCTAGAGGGTATGACTGAATAGGAGAATTCTCCTTCCTTTCATTCCCAAGAGCAGGTAAAGTAATGAGAGTGTTTAACACTATCAAGCAATTCAACGCCACACCTTTCATAAAGGAGTTCCTTATCTCTGTGCTTTCCCAACAGAACACAGTATCCTTCCAAAAAGTGTACTCGAGTTCAAGCGAAAATATCACCACCTTGGATTCTCATGATACACCTAAGACACTCAAAGCCTTGGAACATCAGTTAAAGGGTGTTAAGCAGCGTATTAAGCAAAGGGAAGTTATAATGATTAATCCCCAGAAAGCCCATCTTGCACATCAAGCATTGATTTTGGGTGGGAGGAGTGGAAAGATTACTGAAAACTCACTTCAGGACTGCAGAAGGTAAAACAATTACAGTAATCCTATTAGAAAAAAGACAGTTTACTGTACCCCCTTAGAACAAAACAGGGAGAGCTGACTGTTAAATAAAACTTCCTTGTAGCTCTAAACTTAGTATTTCCACATAGCTCTAAACTTAGGCAAAGTCACAAGGGTAATTTTTTCACATGTTCACCACCTATTGTGCCACAACACAGAAACTAGCTAAATAATCCAACCAGTGCAAAACTTCCCCGGACGTTGCCGGGCAAAGGCTGGATCCTGCAAGGTGCGGCACTTCATGGCAGCTGAGAGCTCACCACACATTTTACAAGCAGGATACTTACATTTTTCTCTGCTTTCAAAACATAAAAGGCTCAATGTGCACTTGAGAATGCACTCAGCCACCCTGCAGTAACACAGCGTTTTACACTGTAGCATGGTTGTCACTAGCATTTGCGTTAATGTGCAACAAACTAGTAGAAGGTGGACACAACTGACTTGGTAAGTTTTGTGTCTTATTCTTTGTTGGTTCAGGACAAAAACCTACTTTTTGTCTAAAAACTTGGTTTTCAGTAAATATGTTCTCCAGTAATATTCCTAATACAAGAACGTTTTACAGAGATCACTCACTCTCAGTGTCACTGACCTCTTCACGGCAGATACGTGATATAAACCTATTTGCACATATACACCCATCTCAATGTGTTCAAACACTATTCCAAGAACATCTACTGTAGCTGTTCTTTTAAATTTCTCATGCAAGACTTTTCAATAAAAGAAAAGTGCTATGTGGTAGACTTCTTTCAGATAAAACTCCCATGTAACTGCCTAGACAGTATATTTTCAAACCCCCCTGTGCACTTATGGCAACATAGCAATGGCAATATCACCAGTGAAGATGGGTTTAACATTTATTTCCCTTGCATCATTTACACCTTGCTTTGCTTGTTAATTCAGATGATCAAATATGCTGTGTTGTCTACACCTGGGATCCCATTATTCTGTGCAGACAGCTTCTTAAAAAATGCTGAAGTATTTGTATAAAATGCGTTTATTAGCCAAGCTAGAAATACACAGCTAACCAGTTTATATTTACTATGACATAGTTTCTCATGCTTACTTTCTCTTTTTTTTTTGTCCTTTTCTCTTTTTACGGAACTTATTTCTTAATTTGTAATTACTGTTTTCCTTGATTACATACAGACAGTTTATTAAATATATTTTAAAGTTTCTAAGCAGCAAAAGAAGTAGTCACACCCTGAACAGATCATGATACCTTAAGAAAAAGTAACACCCTGTTTATAAACTATTCTGGTGATATACTGGTTCATTTGCTTCCTTCATTTTTAACTGCTGAAATGGGTCTGCTTGAAAGCAAGATTTCTACTGCTACAGTAACTCCTCATATCTTCACACATTTCAAGCTATAAGCCTTTATTTATCACAAAGGTGGTGGATCCAATTTTCTTGTTAATACACCCCGGTAATTGAATAAAAGTAAAAAAAAAAAAACCAAACCAAAACCAAAAAAAACCACCCAAAAAACCAAAGCCTGGCTTATTGACACAAATATTTTCTGTCTAGAAGGTTAAGGATTTTTCTAAAAGGTGCCTGAAGGCATTTAAACTTACTTCCTCATCATCTTCTTCCTCTTCATCGTCAGACACAATACTATCATTTAATGGCTCTTCTAGAAAGAAGCAAAATGAAACGGTGTAAGAGTACCTGTGCAACTTAACAGAATCTCTAGTTATTGCTCCTCTTTTAAGATTTAGCTTGCTTCTCATATAGACATCCCATTCTTTTTAGGACAACTATTGGAATTATTTGCTCCTATAAAGCATTCTAAAAATCACTGAAATCAATTCATATTTGGGACAATGGCAGAAACAGAAACATTCTGGAACAGTTCTTTTCTCATAAATCCCACTATGATATCTCAGTGTATTTACTGACAAGACTTGAATGAAAGTGTGTGCACTTGCAAGTTTGTCTCCTTTTCAATTAATTTTTAATAAAAGACTCTACTTCTCCCTACAAACACTTCAGTATTATACAGCTTTTATACATAAAAAGATAGTACTCACACAGAATACTTATTCTAACTTTTGGACAAATTCATTTCCTTAGAAAAAAGCAGCCAGGCTTATACTGGAAATCTGTACGCTCAACTTTTACTCACCAATCAGACAAAACCTTTTGAAAATACCATTCACAGGTAGAAGAGGAGCGATTCTGTAACCTTGATGAACAAATATTGCATAGTGGCAATATAGTGCTTAAATACTTGATTTGTTCTTTTACAAGTGTGCTGGTTTTGGCTGGAGTATAGTTAATTGTCTCCATAGTAGCTAGTATGGGGCTATGTTCTGGATTTGTGCTGGAAACAGTGCTGATAACACAGGGAGGTTTTCGTTACTGCTGAGCAGTGTTGACACAGGGTCAAGGCCTGATATTCCACACCATATGACGCCATGCTCAGCATATAAAGGTGGGGGAAGAAGAAGGAAGTGGGGGATGTTCGGAGTGATGGCGTTTGTCTTCCCAAGTAACCGTTACGCGTGATGGAGCCCTGCTTTCCTGGAGATGGCTGAACACCTGCCTGCCGAGGGGAAGGAGTGAATGAATTCCTTGTTTTGCTTTGCTTGTGTGCACGGCTTTCGCTTTACCTATTAAACTGTCTTTATCTCAGCCCACGAGTTTTCTCATTTTTACTTTTCTGATTCTCTCCCCCATCCCACCAGGGGGGAGTAAGTGAGTAGCTGTGTGGGGCTTAGTTGCCAGCTGGGGTTAAACCATGACAACAAGCATAAGACATGCTGTCTTCTGCTCTTTCCAAAAGCCAAAGAAAGCAGTCAAACTTGTTCTATTTTTACTGTACAGAAAGATTTCATCAGAATTCACCTCCTTTTCATTGTTTGCTTTCTCTTCCTTCAGCCTTCCTTTCAGCCACAGCAAACAGAAAATACCATAAATATTCCACCTCCTTATACTTGTCTGTATTAACACAGCATCTACAACTCCTAGGACCCATCAATATACCCTCCAAAAAGGATGGTCTCTGCCCCCTGTTCAGGATAAGCCATTTCAGATTAACAAAGCTGCACTCCTCAATAGAGCAAGAGGTGAGCAGAGACAGACCTAGTCCCTAAATCCTGTTTTACAAATTGTATCACCTATTTATTTTTGCTGCTGACAGCAGTCTCTCATTACTGCGAGGTCACTAGCATGAAAGAAAACAGTCAAGGTCATTCTATCTACAGTTCCAAAACTTTGGAATTGAGACCTACTCAGCCTTTTATTTCTTCTTTATAATTGTAACACAAAAGCAAATTTTAAAATACGTCTGACATTCAAATCCTGACATTCACTATTCACCCTCTCTCAGACCATCACACTATTGTTATTCTTTGAGAGTTTCAACGCCAAGTAAAAACATGAGCTTTCTTATGGCTTTTGTGAAAGATTTACAGCTCAGATAGCTGCATCTGTTCTTCTGACCTGAATTGAGCTGCTTGATAATAAATTCAATCTGTCGGATCATCTCTGCATTTCCTTCCTTGATAAAGCAGCGCAGAATTTCTTCCATTCCCTGGATGTAGTGGAAAACATGGCTAGATTAGTTTTTCATGTGACCACAGTGACAGTTTTTTTAGCTAAAATGTCATTGTTTTGTCAGGAAAAACACAGGTAGTGTAAAACAAACCACCATGCCTAGCTCTAAGCTCTCCATTTTGTCCATATGCTTCCCAAAGACAAAAGATATATGCTGTCTAGATTGCTTCTAGGTTTATATACAGAAATATCCATGACGAACAGCAAATTTTTACAACAGATCTGCTGCTTCTGCTTTCTGAACTCAGTACACAGTAGTCAACAGAAAAGGGCAAATTTGCATTTACAGATATAACAGTACAAGGTTCAGAGAAGGAAAGCAAAAAGCAGGACCGACTTTGACCTTCTCTTAAACCCAGTTTCTCTCTTTGTGGCCCCTTATAGGCTTGATGTTGTGTCTTTAATCATTTAAGATGACTTCCAATCCTCTGTGCTTTGTGAGGTAAAACATCTGACAACAATTATGTTTGCATAACTCTCTAGGTTAATCCTTAAGATATAAAGATACACTGCTATCCCAGGAACGGCTTCCTCGAATCCAGAAGTCAAAACACATTCATTACCAACCATTAGACTAACTTTCACAGGAGATCAATTCCTAGTTCTGCTAAAACGTTCCTCCTGCTGCCTTCCCCAGCTAACCATGTCTATACCAGGCAGAAACAAAAGCAGCAAGAGAAACTCATCCTCTTAGTGGCTATTCACTGGTGCAGAATGAATTAAATAAGGGGAAGAAGTAGCAAGGCAGCTGAAAGCATCTCCTGGGCCACATCCAGTCTATGAAATGCTAGATGGACAACACTATTCTAAACTAACACCTTTAATTTATAATTTAGATAGAATCCTTCACACTGCTGGGGCTCCACTTCTGGGAAAAGACCAGCAAATGTGGCAAAAGTGTTTGAGACATACATTGATACCTGCCTGAATATCAAAGATGAAGGGCCTCTTGTGGATTCCCTTCTCAAATGCCATGGCTCCTACCTCACAACCCTGCTGCACATTGCTCAACAGGTACCTGTGTGCGTGCCATCTTTGGCATATGCGTTGATCTTTGTGCCATGCAAAGCAGCACTTCTTACCATTGCTCTGGCTTCTTCTCGGACAGAAGGGATGGCAAGAATGCTATACAGTGTTCCATTCACATATGGTTGTATCTAAGAGGAAGAAATAGTCATACCACTAAGAAAAACTCTTACATTCACCAAGTTGACTATAAGCAGAATTTAAGACTGAAGGTGCAGAACAACTATGTTCAGAGAGTTTAATCAGGCTAGCCTGCACTTGTAAAAATTCCCACTTGGGAAGCAGTGAACTTTTAGAATGCAAATATACTGTGATATGGTTGATCTAAATCAGTACTGCTGCATGCACATTTCCCCCCCACCCCTTCTGAAAATGTATTCTTGCAAATTGACCTAGCCCTAAGAAAATGAAAAAAACCTCAAAACAAACAAACAACCAAACAACAAAGAAGGTTAGTTTCTGACAAACACTAGTGGCAGTATGAAAAATAGGACAAAGAACAGGGACAAGACTGTGTCAGCATGAGCTCAAGACAGGCTTCAAGCATTGTAGCCTTAGTCTGGATGGCCTAAGCTGTAGCAGCTTCAAACATCCTCTCACTCTGCTGCCTGTTACTGTCCCTCAGCAGAGGCAAAATAACAGCTAGCATGAAAGCTCTGTATTATGGTTAGTGAAAGCCACCAGATCTGTCAAACTAGTTTTATCAGCACTTATGTGACCCTTTGTATTGGCCAGTTACTGTCGGAGCACTAAGATTTCCAGTCATCCTCTGTCTATACCCTTGGAAAAATGAACAACAAGCTAGGCTGGGAGCAGGGGAAGCAAGGAAAGATAAGGGACTGGGATTTACACAAGGATTCCACAGCTTCTCAGAAAGCTCTCCTGGCACCCAAGAGCATTGCCTTCTACCCTCGACTTTGATAACAAAACTTCTATCAGCTGCGCTGGTGCAAACTAGGGTCTAAGAATGCACCCTCTGAGAGAAATTTCAAGGCCATTCTAAGGCACAGACTTCAACAGTATGATAGCATTTTCTAAATACTTCAGTCTAGGGACTGGGATGTTATTGTATTAGTGTGTATTGTATTAACTCTCATCATTCCTAAAAACAAAGCTAGTGAAACAGTACAATAAAGGTATGGCAAGTTTCATCTTAATCAAAACAGTGCTAGTAAAGAACTGATCTACATCTTCTAATGAATTCATAAAATGCAGGGTAAACACTTCATTCAAATTTATTCCCTATTTTCAGTTTAAGTGATAAACAAAAAAAAGATGATACAATCAGTGTATATAAACATGAGACACTAGAGTTTATATTTCGTTGCACCTTGCACAATCATCAAGGAATCAATCTAGAATACCCTGATAAAAATTCTGCCTCCCTATGATTTCAACTTCATACGATATTTGCCCATATTTTCTCCTGCCTTGAATTTTACTCCATGGTTAAAGAAGTGACCCTCTGCAGAGACAGCTGAAGCAATGCTTTATATAGCAGACAGCAGGTATCAGTGATGTGTTGAAAAGCATTAGGTAGGAATAACTAAAAATTTTTAGCATTTTCCTCTGAGGTAGTTTAATTTAGCATCTAAGATGCAAGCGTGTCTGGAGACAGAAAAGAAACTTGAACCACAAAAGGGTTAAGTGGCAGGTTAAATGAAGTGGTAGATAAAAACATATTAGGGCTTGAATGTCACATGCTTTCTTATAATATTCCTTAAAACTACTAGCAAATTTGCTTCTTTGCACCTGATGTTTTGCATAATGGCTTGCACCACACATTGCTCATCTAATGAACTAGTTAAGCTTGAGATGATTTGGTGTGAGATGACATTTAAACAGCATCAGAAACTGCAATCAAGAAGGCACATGGACTGCATGATAACTATGCATCTAAAAGAGACTTTCATTCTTAGCTGCCAACATTTGTTAAAGGAAGACATAATTATGTCTAGAAAGACCAGTGCCCAACAAAAAAAAATTGCATAATTGTGAATTTTAGGAGAATTTCACACAACTTAATTACATGAGGGTCTAACAAGAGAAACAAAACAAATTTACTTTTTTCCATTTCCTCCTTTCCTGCTTTTCTTATCTTTAATTTTTCTTTCCACCTTTTCCGTAACCCAAAGTTCGCTGTACAAATACCTCATGATTCTCGTGGCCAAGAAGATCAGAGAGAACTTTGAGCACATGGTTTGCAATCCTTGCACACATTTTCTTCCCTGCAAAGGGAAAAAACATAAATATGCTTGAAAAAATGTAACAGATCAGAGCAAGCTGCTTACTTCTTAACATCAGCACTAAATATAATTTACACAGAACAATACTGTTCCTTGTCCCTGCCATAACTGAGCTGAAATCAGTGGAGTTACTCTGGATTTATACAGTTGTAATCTTGGACAGGATGCAACACAAAGGATTTTAAAAAGTTTAACAAAAACATTATTTTGCTTATGGCAAGCAGTCGATTTTTCACCCTTACCTTACTTTCCTTTTTAAAAGGAAACTTACTTTAAGCTTCAAGTCTCTTGGACATAGACAGGACCTTATTTTCTTGGGAGGAATCTCTGCATTGTAGAAGCGAAGCATGCAAGTATTTCACTCCACAAGGTGAAGGTTAAGCTCGTTGCCATTACTGATCAACTCAGTTCTGACTTTCTTTTATACAAACAAATTTCTTACACAAGTAAAAAGTGTCCTTTGAAAAGTGGGCCTGGAACGCAGGAATGGCAGTCCTCACATACAGATACGAAAAAAGAATCAAAACTTAGAGGGTTCCATTAACTGTTTTCTTAATTCTTTAGATTTTGGTCAGGCTAACCTCCATAGTTTGGGATTCTTGGGAAAGAGATCTGCTCAAAAGCATTGGTTATAACACTCAAATATCTCTGGTTATGTGAGTCCCTGCTACTAATTATAGTAATTTGAAAGAATCCAGGTATATCAGAAAAAAGGATTCACAATCTTCCCTATCCACTTCTTGGAATAAGGTTGTAATTCGAAATGTAAGACACCTGCACTCCGCAGACAAAGATTCATGAGCAAGGCAACAGAATACTCCAGTGTGTAATCAGACAGGCAATCTGTATCTGTTAGAACATCAACCAGCCAGAAAATGAGCCCATCTTTGATCATTGCCGACTGCAGTGCACGCCTAGGATTAAAAAACAAAAAGCCCACAAAAATCAGACCACATCATAAATAGCTTTCAAATACATTTATAGCTAATATAAGCACATTAAAACCCTACTTCATCTACCTGCTATACACTAGCCTGCCAACAAAAAAACCCCAAAACTACCCATTTTGGCAGAATCAATTAAACTAAGGAATTAACAAAGCCTGAAGAAACTGAAGATGCAGATTCCCATAAGGTTAGAGGACTAAAACGTTGTTGGGTGGGTTGGGTTTTTTTGTGGTTTATTTTGTTTTTTTAAACCTGCAAACTGCTGAGGTAAGTTTCTTCATTGGTTTCTAAGGCTTCTAACTCCACCTAAAACTGCATTTTCAATTGTCTTAAAATTGGTAAAAAAAGCCAGCTACGCACAACAGACCCATAAAACAAATTAATTACTTCTTCTGCCATAGGTAGCCATAGCACTAGACCGCTTTTGTACTGCTGATTTGACAAATGAGATTTTTTGCTTAAATCTATTTGCTCTTTTCTCTAGAGATTCTTAAATCACATATTCTTTTAACTCAACCTGTAGCTGCCCTCGAAGAGTATACTGAATAAAGTGCCAGGTGGTCAACTGTGATCTTCTACAACAGAAATTCCTCGCTTTACAATACAAAAAAGAAGTATATACTGATAGAAAGGTCTTACTGAAGAACACCATTTTTAATCACATTATTTCCAATGGGTAGTATGTCTAAATTACAAAGATCAAAGCAGGTATTTTCCTGGTCTTAGAACTTGGGATTTGGATTACTCCTGAAAGCTCATACACTTTCTCAGTCCTGGATCTTGCAGTAGGTCTATGGCATGGACTGAGCAAAACAAGGGAGCATCTGACCACACATTAAAAAAGAGTCCCTCATGTCAAGTATCTGGAATTAACCTTCTCTAAGATTAACTGTTATTTTTTAGAAAATAAAAAACTTTCAAATTTTCAGTAGCTTAGTGCCTAGGCCCCAAAATTCAAACTAACTTGTACTATCAACAACTGCTTTAATAGAAAAATCATTTTCTTTAAGATCGGTTTAGGATTTCAAGCAGTAGGGTATGAAGATTTATTCTCTTTCATCTCAAATATGTCTAAGGTAACATGTCAGGAAGCAGTCCGGAGTTTTACCCATAGCACATTTACATGTGCTTCACCCAGACAAGTTCTAAATGAGACAAATCCAAAAGCAGCCCTCATTCTTCAACAAGCCCAAACAAACAAATAAAAAAAAACCCCAACACTTGCAGTCTTAGTTTAGAAGAAACATGAATGAAAGTAACAAGAGCTAAACACATATAAACACATAAACCTCCTTACATTTAGTTAACTATTCAGGGCTGAATATTCCTCCTGAGTACTGTGAAAACAGAGTTCCTAGATCATATTTATTTGATAAATGGGAGCCCTTTACTGCTTCTGCATGATATTTCTTTTGTGGTGGGCATTTGAGTCAGACTGCTAATGCAAAAGTAAGAAACAAGACAGCCCATGCATAGACAGGTCCAGGAAAGAGGATCAACAGGATGAGGATGAAATCCCTGAAAAATGTTTGCAGAAAGGATAATGAAAACCTTATGCTTTGGAATGTAATGCAACTCTTTTTTTCTATGTAGGATCTTCAGAACTTTCTACATTAAGATTTTCACTTTGTTCAATTAAGGAATACATATAAAGCACACAAGGCTATGGCAGATGTACATTTACTTGAGTCTTGACGGGTGGTAGGAAGTCAAGTTAATTCAGTCAGCAAAACTGAGTTCTCCTCCATAATAAATGACACTGCTTTCATCAGTCATCAGAGGTTCTGATGACTGTTATGGGAAAATCAAGTACTCTTCTTTCCTCCCTGAACAGAGCCTAACTAGCCTGCATTTCCTCTCCTGCTGTCACCACTGTGTGCTGTGCTTTCATCACCTGAGGCTGAATTTCTGCAGAGCCCCCAGAACATTCTCCCATGTAAGGGAATCCTTGTCTTCAGCTTTCAGTCTCTCCTCCAGCATTCGCAGCAACGTTGGGTTCTGAGAAAGGTAGACACGACCTGGTGCAAAAAGTGATGAAAGAACAGATGCTGAGATAGCAGCTTATGACAGAAAAGCTCCCTCTCCTTGGAAAAGTAAGCAGGATTGACCCCAGTTTCTTCTTGACAAGCCACAATCTTGTGCCAAGACCCAAGCAAACCTGCACAAATGAGTTGTCTAGCAGACCAGTTGCATTCAATCCAGCCACTTGGGGCAACAGAGGCCCCCACTTGCCAAGTTAGTACCACACAGAATCCACTATTCCTCTTTCAGTACATGGTTTCTGATCTATCACAGTTTTGTATACTCTAGGAAAAGAACAGAGATGTCCAAAGAGCTCAGGAAAGTTAGGTGCCCGACTGCTATTGCCTTTAAATGGGATTTCAGTTCCTAGCAATAGTTAGCTCCTTAAGTAGCACCAAACCAAGGGCTAATTTGGGACAGGCAGAGATACAAAGCTGCATATATATGCAACCAAACAGCAGTGATGCACAAAGATTTATTCAGGTGAGGACCAGGAAGATGCAAGAGCAGCTGCACTAACTACTGTTGCACAGCCTAGTAGCAGGTCTGCCTACAGGACCTTTAATTATTGGGGATTTTTCTTCTTTTTTTTTTTTTTTTGAGGCCCCCACTTGCCAAGTTAGTACCACACAGAATCCACTATTCCTCTTTCAGTACATGGTTTCTGATCTATCACAGTTTTGTATACTCTAGGAAAAGAACAGAGATGTCCAAAGAGCTCAGGAAAGTTAGGTGCCCGACTGCTATTGCCTTTAAATGGGATTTCAGTTCCTAGCAATAGTTAGCTCCTTAAGTAGCACCAAACCAAGGGCTAATTTGGGACAGGCAGAGATACAAAGCTGCATATATATGCAACCAAACAGCAGTGATGCACAAAGATTTATTCAGGTGAGGACCAGGAAGATGCAAGAGCAGCTGCACTAACTACTGTTGCACAGCCTAGTAGCAGGTCTGCCTACAGGACCTTTAATTATTGGGGATTTTTCTTCTTTTTTTCTTTTTTTTTTTTTTAACCCTCATGAAGAGGCTGAAGACTATATTAAAGGCAGAACCTGGGTAAGTTCCCACATAGACCACAAATCATCAAAAGAAGTCAGAAATGTTGAATATACAGTGTCAAAATGAAAACTTCCCAGATACTGAAAAACTGTTTTGAATGCCTGTAACAAAAGACAGTGAATCTCTAGAAAAAGGGTGCAAATAAGGCTCTAAATTTCCACATGCAGTGACATACACTTGTGAAGTGCCTATAAGCCAATCTTATATGAAAATGCTGCCTTTTTTTTTTGCAGCAAATCTCTTACCTTCTGCCAGTGAAGCAAAAGCATTGATGAGCCTTGCCATATACTGTCTGACTACCTCACTCTTAGAATGTAATAATTTGAGGACACTTCTCTGAAAAAGAAAGCAAACATTAATAAAAACTCACCAAAGCAGGAAATAACAAAGTTAGTCTTCTATAACGTTTTAAAAGCTTCATTAAACTTTCACAGCAAACAAACTTTGAATGCGTATCGATACCTTAAATAATGTCAATATGATTTAAAATTTCCCGGTTCCTTTTTTTATTGGCAGGGGACTGAGGTAGAGATGGAAAAATGAACAAATAAGCAAATTTGAGCTCCTCGGCTCAGTCTGTTAAAACACCATCAAGCTCCATGGTGTAGGGTGAGAATTATAATAAAACAACACAGTTAAAACTGATATCTAAAATTAATATTTAGCCAGTGACAAAAAAAAAATCTGTTAATTTTGTTGATGAACTTAAATGCAGTGATGTTATCTGAATAGGAATGTTTTTGTTTGACAACTAAGAGTGTGGGAAAGCAGCTCAGTAACTTACCAAGAACACCACATTGCAAACTATTTTTAACCTGTTTTACTTCAAGTATTACTTACACATAACTTTCCTCTTACAGAAATTTACAGGGAGAAAAACAGATCATTGATTTTATAATCCTTTAATTTTTCTAGTGAAGTTACTGTTGCAATGACAATGGGAGCCACAACGAACAAGTAGGCCCACTGCTTCAAACAACTGGGGAACTCAACTATGCACAAAATTCACTCTTACAAATGAAAAAAGTTGCACTTTTGTTAACGACAGTATTGGATTATCTGTGACTGAAGCAACCTTTCAAAATCAAAATACCAGCAATTCCCCTTTCTAAAGAAAGGTAACAATTCATTCCAAATTCACAGAAATGCTGTTGAACGTGTTATTACAAGTGCATAATCAGATATTCCACAGAGGTATTGAGACTAAAGTCCTAGTTCAGTTCTTATCCTACATCAGTGAAATGAATTGAAAGTATTATCTAACAATACATAATCACTCAAAAAGAGACATAGCATCTGATAAGCAAGAGCTAACTCCTAAGTAAGGGGCTCAGTAGGCTTCTGCTCAACTCACGGACATCAAGCACCAGGAGAGGTGACAAACTTCCACTTGTCTACAAGAACTCCATCTACACTGAGAGCTCTTGTAATGCAAAGCTTTGCCCATCACATTTAAAGACTGGGATACAGAAGTGAAATGTATCACGTGATTTTGGCACTACTACATTTTTTTTTCCCCTTCCAGAGAGTGATAAATTATTCTGAACAGCACTTTATAGAAATAAATGAGCAATATCACATACAAGTTGGAGGAAAACCCTTTCCAGCTGACCTGACAGTTGCTGTGGCAGTCTAGGAGGTCATTACTGATGTAGGCTTGCAGGACAGTGTCTCTCTGTTCTCCAGGATATGATGTTGTCAAGCGCTAAAATAAATAACAACATAAACAAACCAGTCAAATAAATAAATGGTAATGTGAATTCATGACCACTGAAGATCTTAAAGATGCTGATACCCTATAGTTGAGAAATCTCTTCTCATAGGGAGAAGGAATTAAACCTCAGTGATTTAAGGGAAAGAGATGAAATGAACTGACCTGACCTCAGCTCAGTGATCCACTACAAAACTGTTACTTGGGAGCTGTCATCACTGTCCATACAGGAAGGATACAGCATTACTTCCCATAAAGTTAAAAAGCCCCTCTAATAGCTACAGATGTGGTGCTTTTCTAAAACATCTGAGACAGAGTACTGGGCTAGAAGAATCACCAGTCAGACCCAACGGATGTTTTTTTATGTGAAAATGGACATGGAAGCTTGATCAGAATTCCACTATTATCATCTTTCATGTCTGTCACTCTGAACCCATCAGCTTCCTTTTTAGCAGGAAAATGTAACTTCCTGTTGTCACCTTTAATTTTTCTGAAATATCATTACATGATCCGAGCCAACCAAAATGTAGACTCTTGTAGAATATCTTGATTATAATGGAAAACTGGTGATTAGAGTCAGGTATTTCTTTGATACAGCAATATTTACATAAATCTGAAACAGGGCAATACATGGAAAAAGGAACTGCCTAAACCAACAATTTCCTTGAAAACACATCAGAAATTACTTCCACTGAAGATCCCAGGAATTCCTATCTGGCTTTCCTCAGACGGGGAGAGTACTGCTACAAATACACACCTACTACCTGGGCTTTTGTCATCATCTCAAGAGCCTCAGCAAGCTTCACTGACAAAGAGAGAAGTTGCCTGTAATGCTGAACTGATCACCAGAACAATCATCTTGCTCACAAGATGGATTTTAGTTCTGGACCCCTCCAGAAGGGACCTATTTCTTTATTTCTGCAGAGGCCATCTCCCTTACCCAGCGCAGAGCCTGCAGTAAGAAGGCCTTGAGACGATCATTCCCTGTAACCAAATCTTTCTTCAGCTTCTCATAATCCAAAGAGGGCAACAATGGCACATCCTGCATCTTCCTACAATGCAAACGGGAAAGACAATTAATCAGAATTCTCTCTTCTTATTCAGTGCAGCTGATGTTACTGAGGTGAGAAGAGTCAAAACAGGAAGTCTGTTTCAGGAAAAGAGCTTCCACATTTTTACACATCTGTTAATTTTATTAACGTTACCATGTTAGAACAACAGACTTTTTAAACTTGGACTTAATTTTTCACTATGCATGCAGCCCATTTACCGTCATAACTTGCAGACACTAAACTCTGACAACTAGCCAGTTGATGATCTGAGCTTTTTAGTGGCCCAAAACAGTACAGTAACATCCTTTTTTGCCCTGTGTGGACCACAAGGGCATGAGGGCAGCAGCTTGTGGCTCTTGGCACACAGTTATAAACAGACACAGTAACAAGCTGCAGCTCCAACTTCACCTCTGAGCCCTCATGCACACAGAAATGTCTTCTCCAAGGCAAAGGTGGTAGGCTGAATGGATTTTTACAGACTGGACTATGCTGGCTTAACATAAGACTTAATACAGGACCACTTTCCATGCACCAGTACTATCTTGCTATTTTGAGTTTTAATACTGCAATAGAAGTTTCACCTAACAAAATTGCTTCCAGTCAATGCTTTAATTTTAATATTTAAATATATTCCACTAAACAATTTTTACTCCTATCTTCCTATCCTACGACTTTTCAAAACAAACTGTTATATGTATAATTGTCCCTTTACCTTGTAAACAACAGAAGGATCAAAACAGTGTCTCAAAAATTTAATAAAACCTTCACTCAGGTATACCATCTTTATTTGATCTTATAAGCCAAAAATTATTAAGTCAGTCATAAAAAAATTAAACTTGAAGCACCCAAAAATCCACTTTACCGATTCCCCCTTTTCCTGGATTTGTGAGAAGCAAACCAATTACAACAACAGTACTGTACTGTGCAGAAACAGTAAAGAAAATACAGCAACCAACTCACAGGTGTGGAGTGGCAGATTTACTGGATTAGCAACATCCTGCTGAAATTAGGATGTTACTGAACCTGCCCAACAGAAGAATACAGATCACACAATATTTACACACGATGTTCACTGAGGTCAGAGGAAGCACACGGAGGACGAGTGATTCCCATCTGCAGACAACTGGCAGCGCGCTTCAGTTTACAAACCCCTCCTCCTCTTCTCTACAGATATAAGTGAAGCTCAGCAATAAATACTTACACAGGGGCTAAAGATGCTCTTAACATTGTGGAAGCCTGGATCAGAAAAAGAAAGAAAAAAAGAAATCACAACAGATTAGTCCAAATTTCACGCCAACAGTGTTAATAATGAGGTCCACAGTGAATTCTCTCACTGAGGTTCTGCAGTTCTTTTCCTATAAAACCTATGTTGCAAAATAGAAACGCAGCTAAAGAAAGAGGACTTCAGTGTTCATCTTCCTTTTCCATTAAAGTGTTTCACAGGTAAAAACCTCTTTTGTTATGATCTGGCTATGTTATCTTCACTGTCATACTCCAAAAATTACCTACACTTGAAGCATTTAAAAAAAATAAGAGGAAAAAAGTGAGTAGAAACTACCATTTGAAGCCCGCTGAGGAAGATGAAGAACTTGCTAAACACATTTATTGACTTCACAAATTTTAATACCTTAAATTTGCAATAATATTCCACTGGAGACATACCATGTATTACAGCATCCAAATTTACTATAATTCTTTATTTTGACACTAATGTTACCAGAGTGCCTGTTGCTACTAATATATACCCCTATATATAACTATTACTATGTAAAGAAAAGACAATGTATTCTAGCATGGATAAAACCAATATGGAACAGCATGCCATTTCTCAGTGGTTCTGCCTAGGTCAAGTTCAATTTAAGCCTGGATATTTCCTCTCTGATGCAGTGTGACACTGAGCATATGCAGCCACCACTGCCGCACAAGTCAAAACTTAAAAATATCAACACCATATAAGTGTGGTCTGCTTCAGTAAATATTTTTTTGCTAGAGCTAATTGTAGGTGAGCCAAGAAGCAGCAATTCTGGCATAAGGGTGCTTCATATCATGCATTCTGATGTCAACTGCATGCCATATTCGCAGAATATTCAGTGTCGTCTCTTTGTGTTGATCTCACTACTCACTTTCTAAAAAATCTCTCATTACCACTTACGCCTTTAAAACCGGTCATCTAACCTAGCCTCTTTCAATGGGAGCTATATAATCGATGTCTATTGTCAGATTTAAAACTGAGGGATTTAGGAGACAAAAAGCATGAAATACCATAGAGAATATTGAATTACACCAGCTGACATATTCTTGAACACCGTACCTCATGGGTATCCTTCGTAATACAAGGAACTGCTCTCTTAGATGTGAAATAAGCTTATACGCACATTGGAAAGCATTTTATATTATGTTTAAGTCAATGAATGATTTGTACACAATAGACAATTAACAGGTCATACGCTTCAAAATTAACCTGTCTTGACAGCAGTTCTCAAATCAGTTTATTTTACACAATAAAAAAGTCTTTCAAATTATCATAACTACCTAAACTGTTTTCCCCTCATTTATTTGTATTCATTTGCCTTAGCATTTTTGATAAATATCAGAAGTTAACTTTTATTTAAACAGAAGTTTTCCCAGTCAAAACCCATCAGCTTGTACCTGAGTGCGCAATGAAATCACAAATCATTTTCGTTGCCTTCCTCGGCACCCTTCTCCATTAAAGGAAACGGGGAAGAAAGTGACTATAGTCCGTTAAAGCAAAAGAAATGACAGAGCCCTTGAAGATGAGAAGGTGAGACAAAGAACAGTAGTGAGAAAAGGAATAGGGCAGGTCACTAAGAGTAAATAGATGTATATAAAAGCTCTCTGCTTCTCAGCAAAGTCCTTTTTACCCACCACTTCTTTGGTGCCTTAGAAAGAAAAACACATGCTCCAACCAAAATCTAACTAAAGGATATATAATTGGTAAAGACACATGCATCACCCTTCCACACAAATAAAACTTTTTGGCAAGTGTAAGATTTTGCAAGCTTTTATAAATTTCAAACTACAGAAACTTCAATTGGAAAAACATTTGGATTTTTTAAAAATCAATCAGATCAAGCAGGACAAAGTCCTATTAATTCCCAAATGACCTTTTAAGCCGGCAGATGGAGCACAGCAAAGCACTTAGTACGGTTTGGCTCTGTAGTCTACCTACACCAAAAAGGCACCACACAGTGAGGCAGGCCCTATACTGGAGCTCTGAGGGCCGGACCACTGAGATGGAGAACCTTCTTGTCCAGCACTCACTTTTCTGACCAGACCCAAGTTTATCAGTCTAGAACCCGCACAGGAGGAAGGAAGTTCTCTCAGGCGTTTGGTGTTTCCAGGAAAGCAATAAGGATACAGTTCATATTACGTCAGGTTCAATGAGGCAAAACAGAAACAGTAAAGTTTTTCAGGGCTAGTTCGTCCTTCACTGCACCTTCATTTCTGAATCTGACTGACTACGGTCAGCACCACTGATAAGCAGAAAGAATGCAACCATGTTACAGTCAGAGATTTCCTCTCTTCATCTTCATCTACATGATTGCAATTAGTCTTAAGTAAGCTAATCTGTATCAGTCCAGTATGGCGTACTAAGACATTGGCTTGGGTCTCAGGAGATACGCTTCTAGTCCTGATTCAGCTACCGACTACAGACGGAATTTAAACATGTCGTTTCACATCTCTGGGCCTCGATTTTTCTCATCTGGAAAGCATGTTTTTTGAGATCTACCAATGATATTATTTTGCAATTAAACAATCGAATGCTCGTGGCACAACCACCACAAACAGAAACCCAACAGATTTAGTGTTTGATTATGACGAAATAATTCTGCAAAATAAGTTAACTACAGCTGGTACAGTATAGTAACAACTCTGATACAAGTATTTTCCTGTTTTGGAATTTATTTAGGCCTCTATTTTAAGTAATTTTATGGGAACAAAAATTGCAGTAAAATATCACTAGAGAATTCTGTTTCTTCACTGGGCATTTTTTGGCAGTTATGCAATCCAGCAGCTCTCCTTTGGCTCATAGGGCTATGATTTCACGATCCACACTACTTTGGGTCAGACAGTTGAGGCACCCTGTGAAGCACACAGCCACACAGCGTGCCGAGGGACAGCATCACGCGCTCTCCATCTACTGCTAAATGGGTCTGAAGAGATTTTTCATCAGTTTAATTTTCAAACAAGTGATCCAAATACAGTACTGCTGAGTGCTGATCATTCAGTTTAACATCCAGGCTACCTCTTGCCATAGGGTCTCAACTTTTCATCTTTTTATCCTCATTTTTAAAGAGGAAAGACATGCGGTACCCCAGACCCTCAGAACCCCACTATCCTGCCAGCCTTTCCCTTCCTCATACCATGGCCTCTTCAGCTCTCGCTTCCAGACCACCGTCAGTCTGGCCAGCACCACTTCTGCACCCATTCCTTGGCTGCTTTCACCACCTCCTGCAGCAGCATCAGCATCAAGGGGCGCCTGTCCCAGCACAGAGCTCAAGCTGGTACCCCTGATGGGCCATAACGGTTTGTACCAAGCCTCACACCTCATTTTTAATGCTGGCAGATTTGACCAGTTGGAAGCAGCAGTCTCAGCAATAGGAAGCACTGGGTTATGGACTCAGGTGGAAATTAAGCCTGGGGAATACGACCCATACTCTGCTGAAAATTTCATGGCTTCCTTCGCAGTAATGTTTCTAATTAAAAGAGTGAAATACAGACCTGTCCTAATATTTAATTTTAACTTGGTTTAATACTCCTATTCCTTAAGCAGAGTGCTCTTCGCCTCAGAAAGTGCCTTGCTCCACACAAGCAGGGAAGGGTAAACGCGCATTATGAATTCCCTAGCAGGCAGCCCACCAAAGCAAATACACACACACAAAGCAAATGCCTCAGCACCTCCTTTTGCATTTCACTACCTAGTACTTGTTTGTTTGTTTCCATTTCTCCTCTTTGGTATGGATCTGAGATGTCCCAATCTCAGGATATTTACCCAGTTAAATATCTTTACGTAACCTAACCCCAAAAAGCTGTGTTAAGCTCTAGCTCTTGACTTGCGCATTAGCTTTAACAAAAGGAAAACTGCACCTCAAATACAGCTGGGTCCTACAAATCAGCTCTTGGGCTTACTTACATCAGCACACTTACTTTATTTAAGACGTATAATCTAGCCAGTGGAAAAAGGTCATCATCTTCACTAGCATCTCTGTACACAGCAGATCCAAAGCCAAGCTTCCACATGCATTACTTCTGGCGGGAGTGCCAGCTGAACCAGCCTTCACCCCTCTCAACACACTGCTACCACAGAAAGCAAAAGCAAGAGGTTCTCAGGAACAAAAACCTGCCCTACCACCAAATAAATAACAAAGCTCTTTTTAAGTTCTTTGCAAACTTTAGCCATGTGCTTTTAAAAATGGACTTCTGTGTTGCAGATACATGTAAAAACATGAAACCTTTTAAAATTATTTTTAGGAACAAAGGGATACATTTAACTGAGGAAAAGGTTATTGAAGTCTGGAAGCGGGCAGAACAGAGCCCACTTCAGCCTTTCGGTTTTTTGATCCTCACAGATCTGTTCTTCTCTTTCCTGGTGTTCATTCTCAAATCTAAACGCTGAACTCCGATATCTTGTCATTTCTGTGGCAATAGTGCAAAAACTCCAACTGTACTGTGTTTTTAAGAGAGAGTATATTGGATGCTGGAAAGTTGGGACTTATTTATAACAGCTGCTTTTAAATAATTGGACAAGAGAAAGTAAAACCATCATCACTGTGCATTCATAGCCCTCAAAGCACTCTATAGAAAGTAAATTCTTAATATTCTTATAAGGTTAGCAGAAACATTATGATCTTCATCTCCAGGTGACGAATCTGAGGCCACAGACTGAAAGGCAAACAGAGTCAAAGGCACTGCTGACAGGTAACTTCCTCATTACACATTCATCATGTCAACCACCAGACAATGCCTCAATCAGCCAAGTTTACATAGCTCCTCTTTGCTACCAGTTTTCTTAGATTAAAAAGCATTTATTTCCTCAGCATTTCCTCCCAAGCCCTCTCCCCAATCTTACCTTTCCTGGAACAGGTTAAATATTAATTCAACCTTTTGAGTAACAGTATTCCTTAAATTGCCAGTGAATGAAAGAGTGTGAAGAACATGGGGCGTACATGACTCATCTGCAATACGTGACTCCCAACATTGATGGACTTAATCTT